GTTTCTGCCTCTTAAAAGGACATTTTCTTTGCCACTGTGGCCAAGTGCTTGCTCATGGTGGGAACTGTTGGGTCTGTTGGGTGTAAATAATTGTATAAGTACGGTCTAGACCGGCTCTATTTGAAAAGTTTCCTGGGATAACCTTTGTTATGAATTGGTGCTATACAGATAAAACTGAATTGAATTGAATAGACTGGACGGAGGGATGACTCAGAGATGATCAGCATGGATATTTAATCAACAGATGCTGCAGTACCTCAAACAGCCAGATGAGGAGCACGGTAAGGCCGATGGACTGCATGATGCTGGTGTAGTGGTCCATCAGGGCCTGTCGGCAGCCCCTCCTCCACAGGTTCAGCTGCTGGCTCTGCTGGTCGTAGTTGAAGTGGGCTGAGCTGTTGCTGACCTGCTGCTGGATGCACGGCCGAGGGGAAAAAGTGCTGCAGCAGCTGAAGGGAACGCCATCCATCAGGAACTTCCCATCCACATTACTCCTCAGGCGGCTGCAAGGAAGGAGCAGTTAGCCGGCTTTAAGTGGCTGCTGCTATTACTACTACTAGTACTACTATTACTAGTAGTAGTAGTACTAGTACTGCAGTTGAGTATAATGCCCCAGGCTTTCTCCAGGATAAAACTAGGTGTTGATATGAAAGCAAAGGATGATGCAACAAACAGTGTTGTTGTTCTGTTGTTGAATAGAGTAAAACAGATTGTGTATAAATCCTGCTGACAGGTTATATTGAGTCTCTGGAACCTAAGTGGAACCCTGTTGGTTAATCCTCATTAATCCTATGATCTTTGACTCCAGTATCTTTCAGCCTCAACTGCAGTGGACCAGTGGCCTCAATCTGAAAATACAGTTTAATGTCTGCTGACGGAGAAAGATTATCACCAGCATTTCTATTTACTCAATCAGTCAATGACATGTTTAGGGACAATTAAACACTGAGGTTGTTGCTCATGGTGGAAATTGTTCTGGTTCTTACTCATTTTTAAGAAGCATGCTTTAGAGTTAGAATCTGCCTAGAGGAACCACTAAAACCTCCAAAACAACTGGATTCTGCTAGAATTTTGTCAATTTTTGGGGGGGTTCTAAGTACATTCAGTGAGCCTGGTTACATATACCACCTTCAGCTGACTTGAGCTGTAGTGGGAGTTTAGGGTTCAGTTGTTGTCATAATACAGCACACGTGCAGTACTGTTCCTATGGTTACACTGTTGTTGTTGAATGTTGGAAAACACAAGCGCACAATCCAAAGTAAATTTAACCCAGATGTAACAAATAAAATGTGGACAGAAGAAGCTAACTGACAAAATCAACAATGAAGAAATATAAAAATATTAGAAAAGAGACTGGCAAACATGGACACAGGTCAACAACTGGTGAGTGTCAGTGAATCGATAATGTTAAGTTTAGTAGTGACACATAATGGAAAACTGAAGCTAGCTAAGGACACTGACAGATCAAACATTCTCAATCCTTACGGTGGGTTTATGTAACTTGTGGTTTTCTAAGGCATTATTATGAAAATTTAAGGGCAACCTGAACCTAGGTGCTTTAATGCAACAGAACCCTGGATCCACTAGAAACTGTTTAATTTACTATAGAGAATCTGCTAGAATCCAGCAGGGTCTACTGGGATCGACAAGGATCCTCTCCAATCCAAAACAGACACCAAAAGACTCCGAACTGTTCTGGTTCCACTTACTCCACCACGGTGCTGCTGGTCATGTCCAGGTAGCGGTTGCTGATCCACTGGACCTTGAACCAGTCCCGGTACCCAGTGTTCCCACAGCACTGGAACTGGATCTGCAGCAAGTCCAGAGTCCTCTTCAGGTAGCAGCGGCCTGGCGTGTCCGTGTCCTTGTAGTACCGCATGGCGTTCCTCAGACCCAGGAACAGCGACTCCTCCAGCTGGCTGCGGATGCTGTAGCACATGAGCGCCCCCGCCAGGACGCAGGAGGTGAAGAAGAAGGTGCAGACGATGTATGGCATCATCACCAGCTTCCAGCGCAGGAACTTGTTGGTGTCTGCGCAGTCCAGGCAGATCTTCCCCCCCAGGAAGTTGATGCAGCAGGCCGCCAGGCCCGTGGTGATCAGCGTATGTGGCACGTAGAGGATCCCCTGGTCTGACATCACTTCCTGCCATTTCTGAATTTCTACTTTGAGGAACAAGCCGAGACCAAAGAGGATCGCCCCTGTCAGCACAGATATCCAGTTGAGCAGCCAAAGGACCTCAGCTAGTTTCTCCCGCTCCACCTTGGTGAAGGTCACTTTACCAACTGCCATGTCTGTCCTGTGGTTCTTACGTTTGTCACGTCCAAGTGGCCGCAAACATGGCCAAAAATGGGAGTTCCTTAAGGTCCTGTCCCACTAATGACCACTATGTGCTGCATTAAAAACCCATCAACTCTTGAGTGGTTGGTCCTTCCCAAATCGTTTTACCCAATCCGGTTTCACCTGCTGCCCATATTTGGAATTTCTTGGCTCTAACTCATAAAGTCAAACTTCAAATCCAGCTGTCATGAATCAACGGTTGCTCGTACAATCTGTGTCGCTGCCCTCGCATGCAGTCTGCAGGGGTCTGAGAGGCTCAGAGGTCAGGGTCCAGGGTGGGCTTCTTCACAGGGAAGCTGGAGGACAGAAGAGGAAGGCCAGTGGCTGCTTTCTGCACAGCGTCATAAGGAGCTTAATGAGGTATTTTAGGTTCTCTTGACTGCAGTCCACAACTCCAAGACACAACCAGGATGTGAGTGCTGCCGGGAAGGAAGAAGGTCACAGTGTATTAAACCCGCTGCTGATCCAGGAACCACAACTATTAACCAACTTTGTCCAATCACTGCAAATTTTTTGTGCAAATTTGACCAATTATTGCAGTTCCCTGCACAAAACAATGAGGTTTACTTCACCAATTTCAATTCCTTGTTTCTAGTTGTGAAGATGGAGACATGTGCAACTTGAACATTTCACATTTACGCTCTAAACAGTGCGATTTACTTGTCACTGGAACAATTTGCTTTCGATTTGTAATGAATTCTACAAGGGCAATATGAATCACAGCTGTTTTTACAGTTTTCACTTTTTCCCTGAATATTTTTTAGAAAGCTGCTCTGAAATCAGGAATCTTGGGACTCAACAATACCTAAAAAAGCCTGTGACATCCAGGAGAGACTGACTGAACCTGATCAAGATGCACATAAAGCTTTTTATTCCCATCCAGTTCCCAGTTAGTACTGAAAGAAACTCTTGAATATTTCTGTTTCTGAGCATGCTCAGTCTGAAATACATACTGGGTCATTATCCCATTAAGTGCTTTTGAGATTTCACAATTTCTAAAACAAAAAGTTGAGATTTTCCATTTATCTTCATATTCATTGTATTAA